TTTTTTTTAAATAATGCCTCAAAGTTATTTTGGAGGAATATCATTGAAAATAGGGGAAGTTTTCCAGGTATTTGGGGGAATCAGCCTAAATAGAGGTTATCAATTCGTCGGAATACTTTTATTTATGTATGTTCCCATAACTTTGAACCACGTGAACCGATTTCGATAATTTTTTTTTATCGGAAAGGTGGTACCTCAAGGATGGTTCCATAGTTTGGCTTATGGCGGATTCGTTTCTACCAAAATATGCCGCCTTTTGATTGCCCCTTTATCTTTTCCTGTTCGGTTCTAAAATAAAGGTAAACGGTGAGAAAATTGTTTGTTCGTTTCTGAGCATTTCTCACAAGGGCAACATATTTTGGGAGAAACGAAATCACCATGAGATCCGATCATTGGATCACGATGAAATCAACGGTGCTCCTAAATTTCTATATAAGAATTGAAGTCGGTTGTGTTTTTTGCTTAAAAATTACTTGTTTATTTATTTATTTACAAATCGAGCCAAAACCCCTAAAAAACGTAGGTGACATATTTTGAAATAGTTTTTTTTTTTAATGTTGAAATGCATCTACACTACGTCACGAAAAAAGGCGCACTAGTGTTTTGACGGCGAAAAAAGGCGTATAAAAATAGTTCGCAAAAAAAAAGATGCTTATAAAAAACTTTGGCGAAGTAAGTCTNAAAACCCCTAAAAAACGTAGGTGACATATTTTGAAATAGTTTTTTTTTTTTTAATGTTGAAATGCATCTGCACTACGTCACGAAAAAAGGCGCACTAGTGTTTTGGCGGCGAAAAAAGGCGTATAAAAATAGTTCGCAAAAAAAAAGATGCTTATAAAAAACTTTGGCGAAGTAAGTTAAGAGTCTTTGACGCTGAAATTTTTTTATGCGTCTTTTTTCGCCGTCAACTTTTGAACTCGCGCCTTTATTCGTGTCTAGTGACGATATGCTCTGAGAGTACTTTGCATCCAGACGAAAATTAAAGCAAACAAATATCGCTTACGTTTTTTTGGTGGTTAATGCTCAATATATAAATAAATATACGTATGTATATAAATATACGTATGTATGTACATATGTACTTTTATGGGTTGACATACGTACATACATACTTATATGATCCCAATGTATGTTGTCTAGTAAATAAAATGAGATGTTAAGTCATCGTTTTTTCTTCGCCGCTCAAATCGACGTGTAAATTTGCCATGAAAAATAAATATAATGGAAATTTATTTAACGCTTTAACGTTTTCAATGGCAAAAATAACAAAAATTAAGTAAATTTATTAACTGAAACTTTTTCATCATGGAGCTAAGGAGCAAGTGATTCTTTTAGCTCCAGCTAAAATCCATTGCTCCTTGCTCCATTGCTCCGCTCCGAAGCCCTGCTTACAACAAGTTCTTGAAAAAAAAAGATTATTATGGAATTTCGCTAAATTGACCTGGCACCGCCCACTTATAGCCATATAACTTTATCTCACTAAGTTTAACCGAACATCCGTACATATTTGAAGCATGGGTAAACCCTGCTTACCATGTCACGGTAGTTTTCGGATATTTAATGTTCGCCTTTGCTCGAACTTAGACTTTTTTACTTGTTTTCTTTTAGTTTTTTTATTCATATATTTTATTTCACTGTATTCTATTTTATGTTATTCTATTTAATTTTNCGTTTTTTTGGTGGTTAATGCTCAATATATAAATAAATATACGTATGTATGTACATATGTACTTTTATGGGTTGACATACGTACATACTTATATGATCCCAATAAAATGAGATGTTAAGTCATCATTTTTTCTTCGCCGCTCAAATTGACGTGTAAATTTGCCAAGAAAAATAAATATAATTGAAATTTATTTAACGCTGTTGTTGTAGGAAAAAATAACAAAAATTAAGTAAATTTATCAACTGAAACTTTTTCATCAAGGAGCTAAGGAGCAAGTGATTCTTTTAGCTCCAGCTAAAATCCATTGCTCCTTGCTCCTTTGCTCCGCTCCGAAGCCCTGCTTACAACAAATTCTTGAAAAAAAAGATTATTATGGAATTTCGCTAAATTGACCTGGCACCGCCCACTTATAGCTATATAACTTTATCTCACTAAGTTTAACCGAACATCCGTACATATTTGAAGCATGGGTAAAACCTGCTTACCATGTCACGGTAGTTTTCGGATATTTAATGTTCGGCTTTGCTCGAACTTGGACTTTTTTACTTGTTTTCTTTTAGTTTTTTTATTCATATATTTTATTTCACTGTATTCTATTTTATTTTATTCTATTTAATTTAATTTTATTTTACATTAAAAAACCGGGACATCCTAATGGATATATACATACATACATACATTGAATATTGAATGTATAAATGCACGTGCTGTCGACTACGGAAGGTCTGTGTAGTTTGAGTAAAACTTTGTCAGTTGTTTGTTCATATTGAGCGAATGAGAGTTTTGTGGTAAAGCAAACATGCACCATTGAGCAACTTAGATGCCTGTTGCCGCCATCGGAAGCGAATGGGAGGTCGAAAATGAGAAGCGAGAAATGACGCACAGAACTTTTTTTGCAGTGATTTATTGTACTTCAACGGCATCCGATAGCTTTTGGGGAAGCGCTTATAGAACTTGCAGTTAGTATTCCATTGGTCGAGATCGCGAATGGGTTCACTTAGATCGCTGTAAGTTTTGAGGCGAAGGTGCGCGCGAATAGAAAAATCGTAATTCCGAAATTTTTTTGAAAGCATTGTACTACTACTTGTCCAGAGGTGTATGTAGATAAAATCGCCCAGTAAATAAATATTGTTTAGATGGTGCATACATATGTATGTATACACACATGGAATCAATAAAAAGGAATAAAGGACTATACAGTTGTGAATTACATATTTATATATTGACAAGAAATACATTTGTATATACATACTTATGCGTATTATAGACTTTGGATGTGTCGTGTGAGGAGGTGACGTATACGCAACGTGCAATTAGTTCAGTGTGATAACCATACTCATACGCCAATGCATACCCAGTGGGAAAATGTAATGTATTTAGTATAGTAGTAGTAAAAAATAATCAGTAAAACAGCGCGTTTCACATTCGAAAATGCATTTTTTTCCAGGGCGATGTCCTTAGAGAAGTGGGGCAATCAACTATGCATCACCTAGTATCGAGAAATTAATGTGTTTTAATATGAAATTTTTGGAACATTTTGAATACATTAGAATGCCGATTAAATAGTTAGCAGTAGTATTATCGAGAATGCATAAGAAATGCATTATATTATTTATCACACATGTAATGCATTACTACTTTTCCGACTGGGTACATATCTAAGTATGTGTGTACATATGGGCATGCGTTCACTTGCGGCTAAAAGCTGTATTATCAACTAATGAAAACAACGACATAAGTATGTATGTAGATCAACAAAAACCAGTGAACGATTCTTTTTGCACACGTGTGTCGGTTATAAACTTTTGATAATAAACAAAAAAAAAGCGAAAAAGCTGAGTGAGCACAAAACGAAAAGGCCACATCAGAAGCCCAACAGAGGCCAAAATTTTAGACCGCGAACTAAATTTGCAGTATCGAAGCAGATACCCAGCGCTGGTAACAAGGAAGGTGTAAAGCATTCAAGCAGCCACCAATCCCAAGGAGGAGTGTCCTTTAGATTTCAGCAGTGGGGCTTGATTTGTAACCCCCGTCGAATAGACACATTACTGGAGTTGTTGTGAGCTGTTGTCAGTTTTGCCAAGTTCGTCGCTAAATTTGCGTGCTAATTTTGTTTCCATTCGCTGCCATTTAAATCAACCGCATTGTCTGAAGGTCGAAATCTTTAACATATGTACATATGTATTTACCACGCCATCGCTCATACATACATACGTATATAACTAAGTATTTGTGCTAGAAACAAATAAAATCAAATGAAATATTAAATTATTTGTCGCATTTTAATTGGATATGCCAAACGCAATTTGAACGCATTCTTAAATTTCTCATTTATATATATATGACTGGATGTACATACAACATATATAGATACATAAAAAACCAGCTGATACAATGGGCTACGATGACGTCATTAATTATCTAGGCGACTTCGGCAAATATCAAAAACAAATTTATTTTCTACTCTGTTTACCCGCCATTTCATGCGCATTCCATAAGCTCGCAGGTGTCTTCCTTTTGGCGCGCCCAGAATTTCGCTGTGTGTTGCCATTCGAGAATAATTTGAATGTAACTTACGATTCTTTTCCGGCATTGTATTGGAATCTCACTTATCCGTACGACGCAATTACTGGCAAATTCCAAAAATGCGAGTACTATAATGTCGATTATACAACGGACTATCTGGAATCAGCAATGTGGCCGGCGACCGAAAATGGCACTACCAAATGTAGTCACTATGTCTACGACCGCTCCAAATATGCGAACAGCGCCGTAACTGAATGGGATATGGTGTGTGCTCGTGGCTTGTTGACAGCCACCAGTGATAGCCTCTTCATGTTTGGTGTGCTGCTGGGCAGTATTGTATTCGGCCAGATGTCAGACAAGTATGGGCGAAAACCGATTTTCTTCGCTTCTTTGGTCATACAAGTCGTCTTTGGCGTGCTGGCTGGGGTTGCTCCTGAGTACTTTACCTACACGATTTCACGTATGGTTGTTGGCGCAACAACATCCGGTGTCTTTCTGGTGGCGTATGTCATTGCTATGGAAATGGTGGGCTCCTCGTATCGCCTCTTCGCCGGGGTGGCCATGCAAATGTTCTTCTCAGTTGGATTCATGTTGACAGCGGGCTTTGCTTACTTCATTCACGACTGGCGTTGGCTACAAATAGCACTCACTCTTCCTGGGTTACTTTTCATGTGTTATCATTGGGTCATTCCGGAATCGGCCAGGTGGCTGCTCTCCAAGGGTAGAAAGGAGGAGGCAATCTTTATTATTGAGAAGGCCGCACATATAAATCGAGTGAACATACCTAGTGAGGTCTACGACAATCTAATTGAGGAAGCAGCAGAAAGAGAGAAAAAAGAAAAGAACCACTCACCCGGCAGCGCTGAAGAGAAAGCACCAACTGTTTTCGATCTTCTTAGGTATCCAAATTTGAGACGAAAAACACTGCTAATTCTCTTCGATTGGTTTGTTAACAGTGGTGTCTACTATGGTCTATCATGGAACACAAACAATCTCGGCGGCAATGTACTTCTTAACTTTATGATTTCGGGAGCTGTCGAGATTCCAGGATACTCATTCCTCCTGTTCACACTTAATCGCTGGGGTCGACGCACAATTCTTTGTGGCTGTATGCTGGTTGCTGGTATTGCTCTACTGCTGACCATAGCTGTACCTGCCGATAAGAACTGGATCATTATTACTTTTGCTATGGTCGGCAAATTGGCTATTACCGCCTCGTATGGCACCATATACATTTTCTCAGCGGAACAATTTCCTACAGTGGTGCGCAATGTTGGCTTGGGAGCCTCGTCCATGGTGGCGCGAGTGGGCGGTATTTTAGCGCCTTACCTAAATTTACTCGGCGAAGTATGGCGTCCTTTGCCTTTGGTTATATGTGGCGCCTTGGCTTTCCTTGCTGGTCTCTTGTCGTTGATGCTGCCGGAGACGCTCAACAAACCAATGCCAGAAACGATTGCAGATGGTGAGCTTTTCGGAAAGCGCACTCGAAACGATGACGTTGCTGAAGCTGGCGGAGAGGAGCTGACAAGAATCGTGCCACAAGAGAAGACAAATAGCGCCACAAATGGGAATGCTAAATGATGATGATATTGCCAAAGTTTTCCTATGCATTATTGAATTTGTAGCACATCTTTATTTAAATAAGTTAAATCTTTTAGATATACATATCGTTACCCTAATATAGAAAGGCTCTATCTAAAATTCTTATTTTAACTTTCACGCATTTTGTGGGATAAAGGAAAAAGTGCTTACCAAAATTATCTCATTTACAATGTATAGGATACTTTTCATCTCAAAACTATTTTCGAATATAATGTATTTCGACTTAATCATTATTATGACCCACCGATGAAATATTAGCTTACATGAATTTTGTCATTATTTACCGTTTCTATGTTCAATATGTAATCAAACCCTCTTATTTGATACTGCATGACCAAGGCTAAAATGTTTGCCTAATTATCAAAATATGTACGCACATGCATATGTATGTATGTATATAGCGACCATCGGTATGAATTCCAGCTAGGTTTATATGGTACAGTAAACCGTATCACAAAATTATGTTCAAATTGTTCCAATCGATTTTGAACACTTGCAATAAAAGTGCTTCAGGAGTATACAAATTTTTTTCGTCAACGTACTAAAACGGCCCTAATAATAAAGGTTAAAAATTCTGAAAACTATCTATAAGCAAATATAATTACTCTACCAAGGGCGATTACATTATCATTGTGATACATACGGTTTATTGTACATACATACATACATATCGTCGTTTAAAGTGCAAAACCGCGTATGTGAGGTTGCATAAATTATTTTCTAGAGAGTAAAAACACTCATATTTCAAAATGGTTCTATATTTTATAAAGCAATCGCATATTTCTGGCTAGTATATTTCAGGACGAATGGATGAGGCTTGGCCCAAGAACTTCGGTGAGTAAATGCAATTTTTGGCAAAAAATTTCAGTTACGCGGTTTTGCAAAACGACGACACGCGGTTTTATACTTTAAACGACGATATACAAACATTATTGCATTTAGAAATTTGCGCACACACTCACACATACATATGTATATGTACATATCGTCATCTGAAATGCAAAAACACGTAAGAAACATCATCGTTGAAATGCAAAAAGTCATAACTAATAAAAAAATTCAAAATTCACTTTTTGATTTATATGTTGGATTTCATCGAATTACAACTCCCCACATCATTTTATGGAAAAAATTGAAATATTAGTCACGACTTTTTCCACTTCATTTACGATGTTGTTACGTCTCTACAAAATATTTTTGAACGATTGTAATCGCACAAGTCTATTTTTTAAGTTTTTCTTTTCTAAACTATAAGAACTGTGCAAACATCTTTGTTGAATATTTGCCCATTGTAAGTATGTATACAAGCACATACATAATTACATACATACATATGTATGTACATATATGTTTAAAAGGAATCAATTATTTCGTAAATGAAATTTCAGCTGAAAATTAATGATTGCTTATCAGTCGTTATGAAATTTACGAGAGTTCAGCACTGAAAAATCTGAAAAATCATTTTTTTATATAAAATTTTATACGATTTTAAAATGTTTGCAAACGTCAGAATAAAATCATGGCCGACGAATTGAGAGAATGATTTTACCTTCTAATGTTTTTATCATGGTCCTAAGGGCCAGTTTTTCAGTGCCAGTTTTAAGATTAGATTACGTAAACTGCGTTTATATTGAACAGCTGTCTGCCATTTGATTGGCTCATCTTAGTTTAAACTAGCCAGCTCGAGCGCTTAAACAAATTTTAAACCACAGCCGTACACTGAAAAAATGGCCCTAAGACGCACATTTTCTTTTGGAGAAGAAGCTTGGCCGTACACGTAGGAAAATTTATTCGATTTTAAAATGTGAAACGAACAATAAAAACCAAACGTGAATCTTTCATTAATTATTAGGTATTTTACTTTTGTTTTAAAATATTTTGAACTTAATTTGTTTTGCTGTTTCTTTTTTTTTAAATAAACACTATACATATTATTTATAGTTTTATTGTAATTTTTACCATGGTTTGGACTAACCGTAAGTATTATCACTATATGAAAAATATTTATTTAAAATAAGACCGGTTTTTCTTAATTTCAAAATTGGGAACCCGTTTTGTTATGTGCCATTGACTCGAAACCGGGGCTAAAATGAAAACACACATTGCATAATTAAATAAGTAGCGTTATTCAATTCAAATTTTTTGGTAAAGTGAATTTCATACATTCATAAATAGACTGAGGGTGTTTATGCAGAAAAACTAGGCCTAAAAATATGTACCACATAACTATAAACAAAATGTATAAAAATTCTAGTGAATTTTCACGTGTTCTCTCTCAAGGAGAGGAATATTGGAAAAGTACGCGAACGCTAAACTAGCAAAAATTTGCAAGTTTTTGGTACAGCTGATCGAAAATTTGTTTACGTAGAATGGCATAAAAAAGAAAACATGAAAAGGATATACATTAAAAGAGTGCCTAAAGGTGTGGTTATGCATGCTGCAATTAAAATATTACTTAAGGAAATAAGAGGCAAAAGCTAAACTCAACAGATCGCTAAGTTTTTACAAGATACTCTAATTTCTGGGTAATGGAGTACATACAAAATGACAGTTTAAAACTTATGCGAAGTTATGCGAATTATGCCTAATCAGACCATAAAGCAATTTGATAAGCAAAGGTAAGTAAAGGCCCGTCCACATGCATCAAGCATGCCCAGCGCAGGGCACTTGACTATAGAATTCTGCCAGCGCAGGGCACTTGCTTATGGAGTTCTGCCGGCGTTGGTCATGCCTGACATACACCTTTCGCGTTGCGTTGGAGTTGGCGTCGCTTCAACAGCTGACTATAAATACATGAATGCCACCGTTCACATAGCCAAACGCTAACGCCAACACAAAGCAGAAAGATAGCCAACTCTCAACTTCTTGCGCGCGTCGCACAGTGTATTATTTTCATATTCTAGAAAATATTAATTACATTATTTTATGTAGCCAAATTTCAAAACNAATAAACACTATACATATTATTGATAGTTTTATTGTAATTTTTACCATGGTTTGGACTAACCGTATTATTATTTTCATATTCTAGAAAATATTAATTACATTATTTTATGTAGCCAAATTTCAAAACAACGTCAAAAATGTTTTTAGAAATGCTTGGTAATTACGAAAAAATAACAGCTAAACAATTTAAATCAAAGTGTAGGGCGGGACGGGGTTTGATTTGGAATATTACCAAGCGCAATAATATTTGAACTTGTATATTTGAAACTGAATGTACAAATGTACAAAAAACACATCATTTTGACAATCTGCACAGTTCGTCTTGAACCAGCTCCGCTTTGGCTCCAATAATTTCGAAACTTCTGCAAATAATTCGATAACATCCTTAGCGAAATAAACGCGGCAGTGTTGTCTGGCTGTAAAAAAATTCTCATGCTCATACAATATGTATGAAGCCNATAGAATTCTGCCAGCGCAGGGCACTTGCTTATGGAGTTCTGCCGGCGTTGGTCATGCCTGACATACACCTTTCGCGTTGCGTTGGAGTTGGCGTCGCTTCAACAGCTGACTATAAATACATGAATGCCACCGTTCACATAGCCAAACGCTAACGCCAACACAAAGCAGAAAGATAGCCAACTCTCAACTTCTTGCGCGCGTCGCACAGTGTATTATTTTCATATTCTAGAAAATATTAATTACATTATTTTATGTAGCCAAATTTCAAAACAACGTCAAAAATGTTTTTAGAAATGCTTGATAATTACGAAAAAATAACAACTAAACAATTTAAATCAAAGTGTAGGGCGGGACGGGGTTTGATTTGGAATATTACCAAGCGCAATAATGGCTGCATTTCTTTATTCATTCTGAACGTTTGGAATAAACTTTTTTGTTTATTTATTCTTTAGAACGCTCCTGGTGATATGTTAACGTATATTTCAAACGCATTCTGTTTATTCCGGCTGTGAAATGGGATTATCCGGAATGTATAAAGAAACGAAGCCAATATTTGAACTTGTATATTTGAAACTGAATGTACAAATGTACAAAAAACACATCATTTTGACAATCCGCACAGTTCGTCTTGAACCAGCTCCGCTTTGGCTCCAATAATTTCGAAACTTTTGCAAATAATTCTATAACATCCTTAGCGAAATAAACGCGGCAGTGTTGTCTGGCTGTCAAAAAATTCTCATGCTCATACAATATGTATGAAGCATACCGAAATAACGCTGCGGAAACGCTTATCGGTTGGAAAATCTGATTTT